TATATATATAAATGAAACACTCGTAAACTGTTATGAAACTCTGTAAGTTAGTTTAACAATTGTATGGCTCCTACAATGATCTCCCTGCAGAAAATGCCCTCAGGCTGCTTTGAAAGTGCTACATGCTGCTGTTCTTAGTCCAGTTAACCATACAGCAGAAACATTTAAAGGACCGAGCGATGCAATATTGCAATGTAACGTTTTTTTAATGGCTTCCACATAAGCATCAATTCAATTTTTGAGATTTAAGTTTGTGAAGATGCAGAAGCAACTTTGGTCTTGGTACTTAAACTAGCTGTTAACTCATCAAGGCAGTCAGAATTAGACTCTGTTACTCTAAACTTTTTAATTAAATTTAAAAAGCCATCTGTAACACGTAGGTTACTAATTGTTCATAACTTTTCCAGCAAACCCACTTAGAAAGAAATCTGAGCTATAGTTTTAAATTCTGTATAACTAAAAGATAACATACAGTTTGTTACGTTTTATAGCATCTTCAGTCAGCTAAACCTCTCTCTGATGCTTAAACACTGGAAGCAGTCAAAAGAAAAATGTGTGTTCTGCTTCTGTCTGTAGGGAATCCTCGCAGGTTGTAACTCCATGTGTGCCGGCTACCTGTTCCAACCAGACAAACAGTACGATGTCACCTACGACACAGGTGACAAGGCCATCCAGTGTGGCCGCCATGTTGACATCTTTAAGTTCTGGCTCATGTGGAAAGCCAAGGTGAGAAGTGTGAAACATTAACCGGCCAACAGAAACAAATGCACCTTTTCTCTTTAAGTTTCACTGAACTATAATTACTTAGATTACACCTGGGTGTTTTTTTTTTCTCCTGTAGGGCACTGTTGGGTTTGAACAGCACATTGACAAGTGTTTGGACTTGTCTCAATACCTCTACAACAAGATCAGGAACAGGGAGGGGTATCAGATGGTGTTTGATGGAGTGGTGAGTTCATCTCATTCTCTTTTCAACTCAGAGTCACACATGTTGCTTACAAGGAGCCTGTGCATTAACTGTGTTTGTGTCTGTAGCCTCAACACACCAATGTCTGCTTCTGGTACACCCCTCCCAGCCTGAGAGGGATGCCTGATGGCCCTGAAAAGCAAGAGAAGCTCCACAGGGTAAGCCTCCATCACTATTCTGACACATTCAATCATTCAGAATTATAAAAACACCTAGTTGTGTTTTTCTCCATCAGTATTATTTGTATTCATTAGAGGCACAACACTTATTTTTCCATTTCCCACAATCAGGTGGCTCCAAAGATCAAAGCCATGATGATGGAGTCAGGGACCACCATGGTGGGATACCAGCCCCAGGGCAACAAAGTCAACTTTTTCCGTATGGTCATTTCCAATCCTGCAGTCACCCAGTCTGACATCGACTTCCTCGTCGACGAGATAGAGAGGCTGGGCAACGACCTGTAAACCTCCGTCCCTCTGTCGTTTAGTGACCAAAACATTGTCTGTCAACTCCTGTATTTCAAAGTTAGACGAAACATTCACACTGCTGCAGACGGAGAAACGATACGGGCATGATTTCTGGGGATCTGGCTATGTAGCAGGTCTTTGCCTGAAGCATTTGAAATGTTTCTACAGCCAAATTAGCAAAGAGACTCACTGATCCTCAAAGTTCTCAAATGTTTCAATGGTGTGTGTGTGTGTGTGTGTGTGTGTGTGTGTGTGTGTGTGTGTGTGCGTGCGTGCGTGCGTGCGTGCGTGCGTGCGTGCGTGCGTGCGTGCGCGCGCGCGCTGTGGAGTCTTTTACAATGTGTGTACATATGTGTTATGTAGTTTCCTCTTGATGTGTGTGACTGAGTCAGTGAATGTGTGTTGTAGTAAATAGAAAAGGGGTAAAAAGCTCAGATCAATACACTGAGAGTATCAAACGGTGTTTTTCTGTCGCACTCACAGTCGACTCACTGATGCTTCCAGGTGGATGTACACAGGTTAGACTCACTCTGACCTGTTTCCTCCTCAATCTAAACCACGAAGCAGCCTGTGAGCAGGTGTGTGGGTTGGGCTCAGATGATTTAGGATCTGAAAACAGAGCTTCAGTCTGCAATATTCCCCCTGTAGAAGGTTAAGATTTAGAACATCCTCAGATCCTCCATGCTTGTGAAAACCTTTGACGTGTGAAACGGCTGGCTCGTTGTCTGTTCCACGCAATCATGCAATACCCCGTAAGTACTAGTGTGTTAATATTTGATGACATAAGAACACAAGTTTGTTCCGTTTCCACCGTTTGCAGATTCAGGTATTTTACTGTAAATGTGTCTTTATGTGTATTACATGGTAATACCTTTCGTAAAAAGTAATCACCAGATTTAAGTAAAGTTTATTTATTGTGACTTTTGTCTGCCAAAGAAGAATCAGGATCAGAGCGATCCAACGTTTTTTTGTTGTTGTTTTTTTTTTGTTTTTTTTTTTTTTTGCGTGGAACTTCTTATAGATTCTAGGTGTTTGTAAAGCTGACCTTGAGACGCGATGCAATTTCTAGAGTTTCTTTATTTGTGTGGTTGAGCCTGACTGAATGTCTGGAGTTGATTGATCGGCCGCCTGACGAGATTACCAATGAATCTTCTGATCCTCTGGCTGCTGCAGGCTTGTGCGAGAAGCACAAGGATGTGAGAATGTACTCTCCTCTGGAGACTGGCAAGAAAGTATCTGAATTCCAATGCATTTATTGTACTGTAGTATATTTAGCTGTAATACATATTTACTTCTATTCTTAGTGTAACAGGAGCCCAGTGAAATATCTTGTATAAAGGTTCCTGGTTGTCTTTGCACAATGTTCACCTTTCTTTCTTCCATTGTAAATGGATGTGCATTATATATGAACTATGTTAACAGATTATTTATGGTAATTAGGGACCATATGTGAATGGCACAAATACATAAATCATATTTAAGGTAATGTGTGTACTGTATGTTACTACTGACTCTTGTGTGTGACCACTTTGAGTTTTGATGAATGGGACAGAGAGCAATATGTTACCTAGAGAGGGATTTCAGTAGGCACTTTAACATATTGACCATCATGATAGAAATCTTAAATAAAGTCTATTAAACGGAAAACTTGACTCAGAGCTGTTGATTTATTCACAATAAATAAACTTGGTGATTATTTACTGTGGCTGCATTAAATGTCTGATCCCTCTGCAGTGACTCTTTGTGGGTTTAATTAAAAAAAAAAACATGGAAATGAAAATTTTAAAAACATAACCACCATAGGAAAGGCTAGTTACCTCGTCTGTTTTTCTGTAACAAATGAACCAAATTTCTGTAACAAAATGCTGCAGCAAAACATCTCAGTTTGCTCAGACAGTTAAACATTTTTGAAACGTATTGTGAGGGGATAAACAGACAGAGCGGTTTTGCAAATACAATACAAATCATCCAAATCAGGTGTTCTGGGAAAAATTAGGCAATTCATAACAAGACTTTAAATTAAAGACTTACCTTTAATAAAATAAACAAATAAAAGTTCAGGTAGTGAACATGTGATGGACTTGTGACCTATCCAGGGAGTACCCCGCCCCTTGCCCTGTGACTGCTGGATATGGGCACCAGTGACCCCGTGACCCTGAAAAGAAGAAGTGGGTAAAAGATAATGGATGGATGGAATTTCAGGCAAAGCCACAATTCAGTGGAGGATCTAGGATTTTTCTGAGTAAGGGGCCATTAAGGGGCCACAATATTCATAGAGGGGTCAAGCAATTGTTCAGCATCCTTGCACTCAAATCAATGTTTTTGGTACGGTATTATATATTATATATATTTTACTAGTCACACTTTTAAACACTTGTAATGTAATTTTAAAACAGCTTGCATTAAATTCTTACCAATTTTACATGCATTTTACAGAATCCAGCCATCATTTGTGAGTTGAAAGACTTTTTCTGCAGGATTGTTCAAATTTTAAGAAAAGAAAAAGACCTGTCAGCTTGATTCATGCTGGACGTTTCTATTTGGCTTATTAGTGCCCCTAGTGTTTAGACCTAGAACTGCACCCAGCATCATCAATCTTGGGCAAAGGACAGATGAATGACAGGACAGAGGCACTTCAGGGGGCCAATCAAATTTCCCCTAGAACCGCCCCTGCCACAATTGAATATCCAACAAATGTTTTTTTTATTAAATTTTTATTTTTTCAGTAATTTTTCTAGATGCAAATATTTGCTTCACTATTTATAAGTAGAATACTTACTTTTTTTTTACTTTTGACTTGTTTAGCTCAATGTTTAAATTTTAATTTCTGCATGTTTGTTCTTTTCCTTTGAAACACTGATAAATGTCAATAGCTTATTATTATTTTATTTACAATTAAAGTTTAAATATGTATATATGTATATAGTATCTGTATTGACAGTTTCACTGTCTTTAACATCTGTGTTCAGTAAGTTTTTGTTGATCCAAAGAGCTGTGGCCTGGAATCAAATTCTTATTAGTGCGCATTGAAACACACACTGTCAAGATGTTTGGTCCTGCATGCTTGACTTCTAATTTACTTCTAATTGTTAAGAGCCTTCAGAAGATGCATTGTTTGCTGTGACTTTTGTCTTTGTACCATTTATGGTTTATGAACTAATAAGCTTTATTTGAGCTTCATTAGGACACGTTGGTAAAATGTCAGCTGTTGGTTCAGTACTACCCCCGTGTGATGCTTCATGATGGAAGTTCAGACTTCAGGCTTCTGCCATTAAACTCAATCTTAAATGATCTCCAGCTGGCAGCCAGCAAATGTCCAGCTGTCCCAGATGCTCGATCATGCTAAGTTGTTACTTTTGGTCAGTTTCCCTCTGCCTCTCCTCTGTTTCAGCAGCATTGAATAAAGCCTTGCCCACTTTAAATGTTTTTTATTTTATGCACAGATGTATTGTATGGTTGTATGTTTTAGGGTTTATTGTACTCATTGTTATCTTTTTGTAGTCAGTTATTTTAAGTGTAGCTTTAAATGATGCTGGGCACAGATGCTCAACCCTTACACACCAAATTTAATAAATAAATAAATAAATAAGTGCATGTGATCTCAGTGAACACATAGAACAGGGGTGTCAAAGAATTTTTCACCAAGGGCCACAAAGGGTCAGTTGTTATTAATTTTAATGTTTCATGTTTATTTTTGTTTAAACATGAAACATCAGGTCCCAAAAGCCACTGTTCAAAAGAATGTCCCAACACAGACGAGCTACATCTAATGGCCAGAACTCTGCAGTTTTCACTCATTTACAGGCCAGCGGTCACTCTTTCAG